CTGGTGTGGGAGGCTGAGGGGAGAGGGATGCTCAGCAGTTTGGGTTCTGGGTTTGTGCTGGACTGACCAGCTTCAGCTGTGTGCTGCCTCTGCTGTACGTTGGAGACTGCTGACCCCTGCAGCCCCTCCCACAGCACTCGGTGGTCCCACAGAGCAGCAAGCACTGCACAGCTGTGGCAATGGGTGGGAAGCACTGCAATGGCTCTTACTAAGCATCCGTTTATTGCCTTTTGTTATTCAGAGCTGTACAACCGAGGGAGGAGTGCTCGTCTTCACCCCACACAATTTCTCCGTCAACTGCATGCGCTTCTCGCCCTCCCACCCCGCACAGCTGCTGTCCCTGAGCCACGACTCCCTGCGCTGCGGGGATGTCAGCAGGGCGGTGTTTGATGAGGTGGGTGCTGCCCCGTCCTGCTCCCATTGCAGCCCAGGGGTTACGTGGGGGTTGTTAACAGGGGAGGTGAACGTCCCATTTCCATGGGGGCACACGAGGTGGCTTTGACTGGTGTCAGGAAGGTGGCGGTGCTGCCCAGCCAGTCACACTTTGGCTGGGGCGGCTGGAGCTCTGCATGGTAGAAGGAAGGAGGCTGGAAACTAAATTCAATGTGTGCCCCTTCCCGAAACCAGCGCTGCTTGAAGGTGGGGAATGAGAGCAGCTTAAAGAACAAAGCATGAGCCAGATGACTTTGCTCTTCCCAGGCTCCGAGGGAGCAAAGAGTTGTGACTGTCCTTGCTGCGGCAGCTCGGGGGCCTCACGGTGCTCCATCTGTTGTGGTCCAACCCATCTGCACGGAGTGGCTCCGAGAGCAGGGTGCAGGGCCAGCTGAGGTGGGGGTGGTCAATTGCCTGCTGTGGGAAAAGTGCGCCATTTGAACAGATAGGTCGTGCAATGGAGAGCTGAGCTCCCCAGTCAGGTCACTGTAGAGTTTTCAGTATCCAAAAAATGCCCGCAGCGTTTGGTGTTGTGTGTTTACTGTGTATGGTTGTATAATTTTACTTTCCTTTGCCCTCTTCGGCGCTCAGATATGCAGAAGTGAGGACAGCCTCTCCTCCTTTGATATCCTGGAAGACGGCGCCTGCACGGCCGTCGTGGGGCTCTGGGGTGGCACAGTGGCTGTGGTGGACAGGAGGACCCCGGGGACGTCACCAGAGCTCTCTGCAGACATTGGCTTCAAAGTAACGAGGACGGTGGACGTGCACCCCGTGGACAAGCAGTACTTCCTTGCTGCTGGCTCTGTGTAGGTAGCTCAGAATGCACTGCTGTTGTCTGCTTGGGATGTTCCGTGGGCCTCGCTCTGATGCCTGCTGCAAGGGGCACCGTGCAGAGCAGGAGCTGTGCTGGGGGTGGTTCTCAGTGCTGCTGGATGGTCCCGGCTTTCTTGGCTCTTAGAAAACCCGTTTTTAGTCCTCAGCAGCATTTGAAATGATGGAATCTTGTTTTATAATCCCTTACCTGCTCACCTGCTGCGTTGCAGCGATGTCCGTGTCTACGACGTCCGATGGCTGCGGCGCAGTGGGAACAAAGCTGTGAGCATCCTGCATGGGCACACCAAGAGCGTGGCCTCTGCCTACTTCTCACCCATCAGCGGGCACCGCGTGGTCACGGTGTGTGCAGACGACAAGCTGAGGTGAGGCTGGGGGGCTGAGGCCTTTTGGGGGGGCTGAGCCTGCAGTGCCCTGGTTCCTTAGTTCCTGTCTTTGCTGCCCACCGCTGAGAGCATCCTCTGCCTCCGTCGCTTCTTCAAATGGCATTTTGCATAGACATTCGTATTCTGATTTTATTTTTATTTTTCTGATTTTCATTTTCCTGAGGAAAGTTGATCAGGGAGCAGCTCTGGGCCTTTTTGGTCATTACTCAGCTTATGCTGCTGAGCCTTTTGCCCCCTTACAGCTGCTGTGTGGGGAAGGAGAGCCCAGCAGAGCTGTGCCGGTGTTTCCACCCTGGGAGCTGCTGGCAGTGCGCCTTCACCAGGGCTTCCCTTCCTTGTCCCACGCATCTTCTTGTGCCATAGTGAAATGGACAAGGAAGGGGATAGGGGAACCTGTCATTTTGCTCTGCTGTCCTCACAACAGCATTCTGGGAGGTCTGCCCTCAGTTTGTGCTGAGAGGAAATTCCCATTGCAGAGTGTGGCTGGGATGTCAGTGCTCACAGCTGAGTGCTGCACTGTGTGCCTGTGGTGCTGCTCAGGGTGCTCCACGAGGTGGGGCTGCCTCTTCTACCACATCTAGTGCCCATCAGCACGCATTGTTTTGTTCTACAGGGTCTATGACACCAGCTCTTTATCGGCCACCTCTGCCCTGCTCAGCACTGTCAGGTACGGCGGGGTGGGCTCTGCTGGGTTGGTGCTGCACGGGGTCTCACAGCCAGGAGGAGGCAGCAACTTGTGACTGCTGCAGTGCGTTCTGTTTGAATGCTCTCTCATGCTCTCTCTTTCTCTGTCCATTTCTAACATACGAGGGGTCACTGAGCAGTGAAGGATGTGTTTCCAAGAGGTGCTGCTGCCCGCAGAGCTCTGCCAGCTGCCAGGCTTGGCCCCTTGGTGTGGGCACCACATCGGGGATGGGTGTGACTCAGGCTGCTTTGAGGCACGGAAGCATAGGATCATGAAGTTGGAAAAAAGGCCTCTGAGACCATCAAGTCCATCCGTGACCCCTCAATACCCATTCATTTCCAAGTGTCCTCTGGCTTCTGTTCTTGCACCGTTTCGTTTCTTTGTCCCTTTGCAGCCCCTTGCCAGCAATGGGAGCCGGCAGTGTGTAGGGAGCAGCGGGATGGGTTTTGGCAAACACAGGGTGTAGATGATGGTGCCTTCTTGCTGCAGTTCTGCTGCAGTTCTGCTCGCTCTGTTCTGCAGGCACAACAACAACACGGGCCGCTGGCTGACGCGCTTCCGCGCGGTGTGGGACCCCAAACAGGAGCAGTGCTTTGTGGTGGGCAGCATGGCACGGCCGAGGCAGATCGAGGTGTTCCAGGACACGGGGGTGCTGCTGCACGCCTTCTGCAGCCCCGAGTGCCTGGGCTCCGTCTGCTCCATCAATGCATTCCACCCCACCAGGAACGTCCTCGTGGGTGGCAACTCCAGCGGTCGCCTGCACGTCTTCATGGAGTAGGGGAGGGGGGCAGGGGGGCTGTGGGGGAGCAAACTGCGGCTTATAAGTGCTTTACCTGCTTGTGGTTAGGATTCCTTTCAATAAAAAGATTAATCTAAGGGTGGCGGCTAGCGGGTTTTGTATCAGAAGAGCTGTTTTCCCTGATGAGGAACTCAGGGGAAGGGCTGGGGCACAGCTGGGGGGCGAGTGGCACAGCTGGGGGGCACATCTTGGCCCCATGGGTTTCAACTGGAGGCACAGCTGTGGCATACTGGGGGGAATGGGGAGGCACAGCTGGGAGAACATGTGGGGGCACAACCTTGCTGCTGGCTCCAGGGCCTCGCGCTCAGCTTTGAGGTGTGTGAGAGCAAACAAATCTCAAACCAAGCCAGTTTTGTTTTTGTTTCCTTTTTTCCCATGATATTTAAATATTTATTTCAATTTAAAAATACTTCTCATGGCACCAATGATTTTATGCTCACTAAGATATCGAATATGTAGAAAAAGGTACATTTTGAAGGAAAATGTAGCTTACAGTATTTGGCACATGAAAGGTTAATTCCTAGGTTTTTCTTATGAAAACTAAGAAATTCACATTTTCAGGTATTTCACCGTCTACTGCGCAAAGATGCAGTACGCTACGACTCCGTTTTTGTTGGGGATGAGAACCTATGGGAACAACACCCGAATATAAAGACGTAAAACTAACAGGTGCTGGGACACCGGACGCGGGAAAACATAGCATGGACGTCACCCATTGCTCGGGGTCTCGGTGGTAAAATACCGGGTGGGAACGGCGGGGTGCCGTGGGGCTGATGGCATCGCTGTCCTAAAGGAAGCGGATGGAGGAGGCCGAGGTCGGCGGTGCTGCGGGCACCGGGCAGGGGCTACCACGCACTGCATAGACACACTGACTACGGGCTGAGGTAGGAACACTACACTACGAGTGAACTCGGCTACGTTGCATAAACGGGGTCACGGGGACAGCGGCGGCCGTTTGGGGACGGTGGCCACGTGGTGGCACAGCGCAGCCGTCCTGCTGTGTGGCGCTGCGTGTGGCAGCCGTGTGGCACCGCCTGGGCCATCACGCGGGTCTCCGCACGGCAGCCGTGTGTCACCATGTGGCCGCAGTGTGGCACCACATAGCTGTCGTGGCACTGCATGGCTGTGCCCTGTGCCCGCCGCGGCTCTGCTGAGCACGGCAGCGATGGCCCCAGCGCTGTGAGATCTCTCCCTGAGATGAAGTAGAGCTGCTCGGCCGCTCGCCCCGTGTCCAGCGGCAGCCCCAGCGCGCCCGGGCCGGCGTTATTGCTGCAGGAAGGGCTGTCCCTGCTGCCCGGCTCCACGCGTGCCACGAGCTATCGGCGTGTTTTTGCTTAAGGACGGATGGAGAGCGATGGCTGTCCGGTGGCTTTCCAGCGTTACCTCTTGCCCTGCAGCGCTGTTCTTTTGTCTTCAGGAAAGTCCTAAAATTACCGCTCCTCTCTGTCTCCCAAACCAGGAGCGTGGCAGATGGGTTGCAAAGCATCCGCCGCCCCGTGGAGCCCCTCCGCACTGCCTTCGCTCCGGGTGGAAAGTAAAAAAAAGACTCAGGATCAATAACAAAATAGCTTCTCGTTGTTAAAATAGACCTCGAAACAGTCTTCTTTTGTACAAAAGGAGCTGAGCGCGGGGCCGTGGCGCTGCTGGGGTCCCCAGAGGGCGGCACAGGGGGTCCTGCAGCACGGTGACACGGGGACCATCCTGCGCCCTGCAGCGCCTGGGAAGATGCTGGCGCAAGGATGAGCGTTAATAGCAAAATAAATTCCTCTCTTTATTCGGTTCTCCCACCGCACCCCGCAGGGACGGGGACCCCTGCAGCGCTTCCGCTCTTCTCCTGCGGAACGAAGGGAGCTGGGGCCGCGGGGCCTCAGGTGTCAGTGAGCAGAGCCACCACGGCGCGGAGCTTGCAGGCAAACCATCGCCTGAGGGGACAAAAGTATTGGTAATGGAACTGCTCGAACTCGGGGGTCTGGCGGATATCGCGGAAAAAGGCAGTGTCAAGGTCGGACTCGGTAAGGACGATGAGGAGGAGGAGCAAGACAAAGAGGAGTCCCACTGTCACGAGGAGCAAACGGAGGACACTTAAAACAAACTTATTCACCTGTTCCGCCCGCGGCCCGCTGCCGGCACCCTGGCACAACGCGCGCAGCTCGCGCGGCTCCTCGGGCTCCGTGCCGGGCGTGCCGGCCTCCGACTCCTTCTCCTCCTCGATGCTGCACGGGGCTCCGTTCAGCTGCCGGGACAGCAGCAGCAGCTCCAGGCTGTGCTCGGCCACCGGCGTGGGCAGCACGCTGTCGGCAGGGCTGTAGCTCTCGTCGGCGATGATGGCCACGCGTTCGCTGCTGTCGGCGCGGCCGCCACGGCCGTGGGGCACGAAGGCGTCGCCGTGGGATGCGGAGCGCACCGGCGTGGAGTGGGCGCTGTCACGGAGCGACTCCAGGCCTGGGGGACGGGGGAGGTCAGCGTATGGCCACTGAGCTGCCCCACACCCAAACCACCCACGCTGTGCCCTGGGGTCCTTCTGCTATTGCAGTGTATGGTGTTCTGTTCTATTCTTTTCCATTTGCTTTCATTTCATGCCATGCTATTCCATTCTACCTCCTTCCATGCCATTCCATTCCATCCCATTCTATACTTTTCCATTCCATTCCATGCCATTCGTTCTAGCCTGTCCCATTCTCTTGCATGCCATGCCATTCCATTCTGTCCCATTCCATTCAGCTCCATTCCTTTCCATCCAACTTCATTGTATTCCATTCCATCCTATTCCATACGATCCCATTTCATTCTATCCCATTCTGTTTCACTCAATTCTATTCCATTCCATGCCATTCCATCCCATCCTATCCCATTCTCTTGCATGCCATGCCATGCCATTCCATTCTATCCTATCCCATTCCTTCCCCTTCAGCTCCATTCTGTTCCATCCAACTTCTTTCTGTTCTAGCCCATGCCATTATTTTCCATTCCATCCCACTATAAGTCACGGTAGAATCACACAATGGTTGGGCAGGAGGGGCCCTCACAACCCCCTGCATGCACAGCTGTGTGCAGCACAGGGCTGCGACAGCTCAGCACCTGTATGCGTGTGACCCAGCTCTGCTTTCCAGCAGCAGCAGAAATAGCTGTGCACACGGCTGGGTGCCCAGCCTGCTCAGGTTACAGCTGAGCCAGAGCTGCCCTTTAGGAGCTGAACCCTGCAGGCAGGGCAAGGGGGGGGGGCCCTTCTCCCCACTATCTGAAAAAAACAACAGAAATTCCCACCTCCCAAAAAAGCCCTGTAAAAGTGGAGGATGAGGCAGGGGACAGCTGCCAGTTGGAGCTCTCGGGGGCTTTTCCCTGTGGGGGCACAGGGCCCCGGCGCTGTGCCACGGGTGCTGCCCCAGTGCATTCCCCTGTGCTCTGCCACCTCCTGCTCGCAATGCTGCTGGATGCCTGTGGAGCCGTGCACACAGCAGGGCACAGCATACAGCACAGCACAGGGCACAGCACAGGACATAGCAAGGGGCATAGCGTGGGGCTTAGCAGGGAGCTTAACACGGGGCTGCAGGCACGGAGGGGGGCATGGCATAGGACTTAGCACAGGGCTGTGGGCATAGCACAGGGCATAGCGTGGGGCTTAGCAGGGCAGCGAGGGCACCGACAGCCTCACACCCTGACAGCTGCTTCGCACAGCCTCAGGGCACTGACAACCATTCCCCAAAATCCCCAAGGGGGAGGGCAGTGACAGCCGCCCCCAGGCCAACCCGCGCTGTCACCCCCACCTCCATGAGCTGAGAAACGTGGGGAACGCGGGGTCCTGCCCCCAACTGAGGGGTCAACAGTAATAACATCCCACTGGGGGGGGGGGCACCCAGAGCTCCCTGCACCCCAACCCCACATCCCTCACCCCCCCCCGGGGCTGCTGTCACAGGACCCCCCGCCCCCCGGCCTCACCTGCTGCGTGCCCGCCTGGAGCGAGGGGGCTGGCGCTGGGGCCGAGGGGAGCGGGCAGCAGGGGCAGAGCCCCCAGGGGCAGAGCCCCCAGAGCGCGTGCCAGCAGCCGTGGCCCCAACGCCAGCACCCGCACCCGCACCGCGCGGCAGCAGTGGTTGATGAAGCGCAGCTGCACGCTGACCCGGGTGGTGATCTTCACCAGGCACTTCCCCATGGCGTGGGGACGGCAGCACGGGGACGGAGACCCACCAGCAGTGGCACGCCAGTGGCCCCACTGCTGTTCGGGGCTATTTTGGGCTCCTGCAGTGTCACAGCTACCAGCGAGGTGACAGTGACATGAAGCAGCCGTGGGCACGGTGCCGGGCACAGTGATGGATGGCCTGGGGCTGCACGTTGCCCGATCTGCAGCAGCACCCAGGGAGGGGGTACGGGGCCCTGGCTCTTAGCAGGCCCCAAAGCACAGCCCCCATGCAGCCCTGAGCTCCCACACAGCCTCAGGGCACTGACAACCATTCCCCACAATCCCCAATGGCACAGGGGGGTCCTCAGGAGGTCCCTTACATGCCCTGGTGTGAGCACTGTGGGGTCCCCAGCTGTGCTGTTGGGGCTGCATGTGGACGGCACTGCAGGGTTCCCGGCAGCACGAGGTTCCAGTAGGACCTCAGTGACCCCAAATGCGGGGAAACAAAGGGACACCAAATGTGAGCACATGTGCAGCTGTGCTGAGTGCCCAAAGCAGCTCAAACCTGTGGCTGCAGGTGGGACTCATGGGAAGTCACAGAGCAGGGGACCCAGGAGGCACTGCACGGCTCAGCCCTGTTCTGTGTGCTCATTCCTAGTGGGGCGTCGCAATGACACTATTAAAGATCAGGTCCTGTCCACGTCAGGCCCCAAACCCCATTGCCCTGAGCCACAACTGCTGCCACAAAGCTTCGGCCCTTTGATACCCGCTCCCTGACCAGAGGCAGCACCTCCTTTCCGTATGCCCACGTGCCCAGATAAGCGCCGTGCCCCACGTGCGTACCTTCCATGATGGAGATGTGCACAGCCCTCCTGCGGGTGCGCGGCACACTGCTCAGCCGGGGGCCGTGGGTGATGGAGGGGCAGCTCCTGCTCGGCACCAGCCCGGCCCTGCAGGGAGAGCAGCAGTGAGGGGCCGCCTGCTGGGGCTGCGCGGTGCCCCATACGCACTGTGGTGCCAGGCTGCGTGGTGCCCTTACCGGTGGATCTCTGGCGGCTCCCGCTTGATCTTGGCACTGGATTCCATCACCTCTTTTGCAACGCGGCCGCTATGGGTGGGAAGAAGAGCAGCGTGAGCACGGGGAAAGCAGCCCTCAGTGCCTGGGGTCCCATCCCTGCATGCTGCACTGCCACAGAGCTGGCATCGTCTCATGGCTAGGGATGCCCCGCACCCAGCAGAGACATATGGCGCCTTCTCCAGGGAGCAGAATTTAGGAACTGCAATGATTGTTTTATCCCTTGACCTCATAAAATAACAAACTGACCATGAAAATCCCCCAGATTTCCCCCCCGCCCCATCCCATCCCCATGATCACTGTATCTCGGGGGCAGGAGGGAAGAACGGCAGCTGAGGAATGGGGAATGCACGGTGGTGGCGCTGACGTGGCCATCCTGCACCAGAACAGCTGGCAGTGGCTGCTGTCTGCCTCTTATCTACCTGTATCGGAAGCGGCTCCCCTTGAAGAACAGGTTGCTGCTGGACACTGTCCGGACCTGGCTCGACTTCTCCAACCTGCAGGGCAGCAGGCTGTGAGCGCCACATGCACTCATGGGAGCAAGGAAACTCCCAGCACACGTCCCAGTGAACAAGGCTGAGCAATGTGTGTGAGCCCCGGCAGCTCCCCACCCCATGGCAAAACCCCCACCCCACAGCACAGCCTCATCTCCCCACCTCCAGCACTGCCCCTGCCCGGGGCAGGAGTAGCCAGCAGCCCTCACCCCGCACACGGGGAGCAGGACCCAGTGCTGACATTATTAATCATAAAAAGATTTGTAAAGTAATATTGCAATTCCATTTTATGTTCATATAATGAGGAGTGAAACCTGCTGATGGCAGCCGCTGATTGCGGAATTCCCAAAGAGAATACATTACACACTTTATCTCGCATCTCGCTGATTAGAATAAAACTCATTAGGAAGCACCAAGGCGGGCATTGCCAAGGAAGGCTCTGAGCACCCAGCACAGCCTCACACTGAGTGCTGGCACTGCCTGCTGCTCCTCCAGCCCATAACCCCTCGCGGGTGCTGCCCATCATTAAGGCTCTATCTATCTGCCCAATTAATTCTAAATGCATAACTGGGGGCTTGCTGGGTTGGGGGCAGCCCTGGAGCTGCGGGGCAAGGGGGCACAGTGCTGCAGTGCCCCACAGCGTGGTGAGCCCAGGAGCGACCCACAGGGAGCGCAGAACAGAGCGCATCCTTGCACTCACTTGTAGAAGGCCTGGTTCTCTATGCCACACTTCCAGAGGTGCTTGCAGGCTTCAGGCGTTGGGGCAAAGTAGGTGAGGACAATTTTCTTTTCCTACAGCACAAAGAAGTGTGTTGGTCACAGCAATGGCGCCCAGAGCTGTGGGATGGTGGCAGCACAGAGAGCATGGCCACAGCCGGGCAGGGGGACAGGGCAGCCCCAAATGGAAACACACTCACCTCCTTCTGACTCACATACAGGTAGAACGTCTTCCCCTCAAACTTCATCTTGGTCACCTCATTCCTGAAGGGACAGGGATGTGCCATTAGACGCAGGGATGTGCCATGCCCAGCCCCACTGGCACTCGCCCCCTCCCCATCGCACTGAGCTGCGGGCGCAGGGTCAGCCAGCAGCAGCAGTGTGGGGCTGCTCACCACTTGATGAAGTGCACTCTCTTGTTCCCCTGCAGGACGACGAACCCAAAGGGGGTGAAGGCCAGGAATGCTGCATTGCCCGACACGTCCTGCAAGAGAACAGCAGCTCCTCAGCAAAGTGTCAGAGCGCCCTGTAGCACCCAGGGCAGGCATAGAGCAATGGGCTGTGGCTGTGATCCTGCAGCACCCTGTGCATGCACCAGCCCCACAGCCCTGCAGCCCCACGTGCTGCTCCCAGCACGAAGCACAACGTGCTGCATCGCTCTCATCGACCCTGTCAATTCACAAGTGAGCAATACACAGTGAAGATGGTTACGTGCCTGACCAACCCTTTTGCTAATAATTAAACTGCATGATGGCAAAATCCCATTCAGTGTTGGAGCGGCCAGGCAGCACCGTGGCCATTTACAATCCATAATTAGTGTCACGGACAGAGCTGGGCAGTGCAGTCACTTAATCACAGCAACCGGGCTCTGGGGCAGCACTCATTAACTGCCTTGGAGCTCATGCAAAGTGCAGAGCTGTGCTGGGCTCAGACAGCATTGCAGGGCAGCTGTGGGATGGGGAGCTGCAGCACACCCATGCACACAGTGTGGGAGCAGCACGGGGCGTGTGGTGCATGGGAAGCAACAGAAAGGGACCCTCAGGATGTGAACAGTGAAAAAGCCGGGTTCACATCAAGATTGGATCACAATTCATTTCAATCTGCCAGGGGCAAACAGGTGAAACCAAAGAGCCCAAATCCTGCCCTGCACAAAGCAAAGCACAGAGCTGAGCCACAGGCACGAGTACCTGGTCCTGTCTCAGCTAGGGAGCCTCTACCCCACTGCTGGGTGTCATGGGGCACGCACTGCCCACAATAAGTGCTATCAGTGCACAGCACTGCAGGAGCTGCTCCCCCAGCACCAGCTATCAGCAGCACCAGCAACAATGCTCACCCATGGCCCTGCCCAGTGCCAGCACCCAGCCCTGTGCTGCTGGGACCCCGCTCAGCCCAGCTCTGCGCTGGGTGATGGGCAGCTCTCTCTGTATGTTGGCTGCGAGTGGGGACTGACACAGCCCAGCTCCTCCTGCTCTGCTCCCTGCATCCCTCTGTGTGCGGTGGGGCTCTGTAGGAGCACAGCGTGGGGTCACTGAGAGTCAATAAAAGCTACTTCCAGCACAAAGCTCCATCAGTACAGGAGTGCAGGCAGGGAGGGGACAGTCCTGGTTATTAGTACGGCGGTGGTGGAGCTGCAGTTGGAATGGGGGATCTCAGAAGTCTTTCCAACCTCAGTGGTCCTGTGGCACTCAGGTGCTGCCTCATACAGCAGCGCAACGCCAGGTGACGCAGCCCCACAGGCAGCAGTGGGAGCCTCCTCTGCAGCACGTCAGCACAGAGGGAGCAGAGCAGTGGTGGCTGCCGGCAGCGCTCACCTTGCAGGGGTGGGGATCCACGCCGTACGTCTCCAGGGTCTGCGCCTTCCTTAGGAAGTTCAGCTCCGAAGTGGCCGGCGTCTGCCCGCTGCGGGAGGGAGAAGGGAGAGGTGGGCTGTGCGCAGGGCAGAGCACGGCGCGCACGCGGGTCCCGGCGCGGCACTGAGCCTCTACCTCAGTTCTGATTTGTGGATCTCCGCAATCTTCCTCTCCAGCTTCTCCGAGTGCTTGGGGAAGAACTGGAACTTGGAGCTGTAGCCCTCCGGGTGCTTCCCGGGGTCGTAGTCACCAATCTCAGCTGGGGGGACAGAGGTGGTGAGCGGCCCCACTGTGGGCACAGGGCCGGCTCGATGCTCAGCCATTAGCCAACCCCCCCCCCCCCTCCAGAGCCCCATGCTGCCCACCCCACAGCCCCAGTGCCCCCCAGGCAGTGGGAGGGGCTGCACGGTATGATCACAGCCCTGCAGCACGGCCCCGCGCCGGGTGACATTTATATTCGAGGTGCAGCGATCTGTTGTAAGTGGAGTAATGTAATCGGGACTCGGAGCGAAAAGCAGATTTATCTTGTCAGGAAGCATTACCTTGAAGGATATAGGCGGCCAGCAGCGCGGCGTCTGAGGTCTTGCAAAGGAGGCGGCCGTGGTAGAGGTCTCTTTTGATCTGCAGGAAGACTAAATACCTGCAGACAGCAGAGAGTCTGTCGGCCAAGTGCAGCTTGCTTGGGCTGAGCAGGGCCGTCCCAGCTGCACGTGTGTGCACTGCACAGCCCGAGGCACTGCTGGCCATGACCCACAGCTGGGGGCCGCATCCCAGCCCAGCAGAGCTCTCTGGGTGCTCACAGCACTGCCCTCTGGGTGCCAGCACCTTTGAGCCACGCAACCCAAATTCTGGATCCAGGGTCCATTTCTGCCATCATCTCACCCATTGTTTCCCTGGATCATCCCCAATAGCGTGTTCTTTAGATAATAAAACAGACCATGAAGGGAACTATCCTGCCAGCAGATCCCACAAGGACTGGAGTGCAACTGGGGATTGGTGCTGGGAGGACAGGGAGGTGGGCGCACGGCGTGCAGCTCTGCTCTGAGGGGGCTGCAGGAGCAGCAGTGGCACAGGCACTGCGCACGGTAGGCTGTGCTGGCTGGTAAAACAGCCCTTCTCACGGGTTGAGCACAAACCCAAACCCATGGCCCCACACCCCCCTCACCTGGTGATCTCCTCCTTCAGTGCCGCAGGGTCCGTGGGGTAGAACTTGACACGGAAGCACATGGTGAAGGGCGGCTGGGCTGTGGGAACAGCAGCACTGTCACCAACCTGCCACCAAACCTCAGGACACAATCCCCCCTCCCCAGTCCATGCAGGTCGGGCACCGACCCTCACATCCCCCCTGCAGGGATGGGGCACACCAAGCTGTGCCATGCACCGCCCCGCAGGACACTGCTCAGTGTTTTGCTTGTACTGGGAGCAATGCTTACCCCTCATCTGCTTCACAACCGACTTCGTGAACTCCAGCCAATGCTGAAATGAGAAAGAAAGGGATTGGAGCAGCTCTGTAACAAATATCTGCCACCAGGAATACTCTTTTGGAACCAGAAGGCCACACAGGGGCAATCCCATGCCCAGCCCTGCCCACAGTGCAGGCGGTGGGAGCAGCCGTGGGGACACTGCACAGATCAAGGTGGGCAGACAGTGTGGGCAGGAGGAGCACAGAGCAGCCCAGAGCCACACACTGCACACAATACAGCATCAGGCTGCAGCCACACCGCAGTGCGCTCTGCATGGGGCCTCTGTCACACCGCTCTGATCTGCTCACCCTCTGCTTGTCGGGGTCCACAAAGCGGATGCCGAAGTAGTCCTTCTCCAGCAGGTTCAGGTGGTGGCACAGGAGGTCGAACAGGTATTGCCCCTTGGCATCTCTCTGCAAGACAGGAACGGCATTGGCAGCGCAGCAGGGTTGGGGGAGCTGAGACACGGGGAGATGAAGGCACTAAATCTGTCACGTCAGGCTGGGGATGAAGCGGAGCCACACGAGGAGCCCTCTGCTCCCCAGCACCGCAGCCCCGAGGCCATGCAGCCCCCAGATGAGGGCTGACCCATCAGCAGTGGGATTAGCCCAGGCGGAGCGTAAAGCTGTGCGGCGTTGTGCACAACCCCCTCACACTGACATTGATGTCACTGCTCCAGTCGGATTTACAATCATGCACTGTAACTTCTAGCTCACAGAGCAGACCCCCAGCTCCCGCCCCACACTGTGTCCCACACCATGGTGCTGCTGGCCGGGCACTTTGGGTGTCCCAGGGTCCCATCAGTCAAAGCCAGCAGCAGAGGCAGAGCCCTGCACTCAGCATCACGCTGCCCACAGCACTGTGACTGCTGACTGAGAGCAGGGCCGCAGAGTCTCAGAGGCACTAAGGCCACAAAAGACCTCTCAGATCCCCATTGCAACCACCCCCATCCCACCGTGCCCACTGCCACCTCCCAGTGCCACATCCCCACATCAGAGCAGCTGCTCAGCCCCAGAGCCTCAGCACAGCGCAGTGCCCAGCCTGCAACCCACGCCCTGCATTTTGCTTTATGTTTTGGCTCTCTGCGTGGCACTGCACAGAGCAGGAGGGAGCAGCAGAGCAGCAATGTCCCCAGCATCATGCCCTGCACACCCCGAGGCCCCTTTGTTTGCAGGATTTGATTCTGCCTTTCCATACCCGTACCCAAATTGGCACTAGGACCTGCAGCACTGACACAAAGAGCAGAGGCAGCAGCCCTCCATCCGCCAACAGTGTGCAAATGCAAACGGCTTTATGAGGGGGGGAGAAATGCTTCCTCTTTGATCTCTCTAACTTGAGTTAAACATATTCTAAATTAATCATTATGAGTCTGTCTTTCAGGAAATTATCTGAGCCGTCTTTGCAAATCAGAACTTGAAAGAGCTGTCTGTTGTGTAATAGCAGCTTAAGCATTCTGGTTTGATCTCTGTATGTTCTTACAAAGGAGGGTTTGTGCTGGCCCAGCAGCACGGCAGCAGCCCCGGCAGCTCAGTGCCACCAGTGCCCACACCTGAGTGCTTGCTGCTTCCGCCTTAAACTTCGGATACATTTAAAGTCCCGAGGTGCTGCAGGGCTGCTGCCAGGATGCTGAGGCTGCCACCAGAGCCAGGCAGCTCCTTGTTCCCAAGCTGTGCTCTCAGTCCTTTTCTTCTCAATTCAGAGGAGTTCAGACAACAAACCAAGCGTGCTCAGGCTGTGCAGGACGCACCCAAAGGCAGCCAGCAGCGCTGTGTGCAGGGGATGCTGAGTGCATGGCATCCTGCCTGCATCCCCAATAAAACACACAGGATCACCACTTGCCCATAGCACACGGGGAGGGTTTCACATCCCACTGTTGCCCATCCATCATTCACCAGGAATGAACGCAGGATGAGCCATGTGCTCTGGCCCCAGCAGCAGCACCCTGTGGCACGTGGCCCATCATGGAGCAGGCACAGGGGCTGCTGTCACCCTATAGCACAGCTGCACACAGCAGCTCGTGCTGCAGGAACGGCCTCGGGGCAGTGGGCACAGGGCCCTGTGGGTGCCAACCCAGCCCGGTGCTCCCAACGCAGGGCTGAGCCCCCCAGGACTGGCTGAGAGCCTGCACTGCTCTGGAGAGCACCCAGGGGGTACCGGGAACAGCAGAGCTCCGGAAAGACACGGACCAAAAAAGCAGCAAGCATGAAATCTCAAAACTTTAAGAAGATTAAAGTAACCTTGCCTTCTTCATTTTTCTAAGCTCCTCTGCCAAAATTAGGGTCACACACAGCTAAAATGAAATGAGTTAATAATAGCAGCTCATCTTCAACAAGCAGCGCTGGCTCATTCCCCTCCTGCTGCCCAGCTGAGCACCAGCAATGGAGCCTGACTACAGAATCACAGAGCCACTGAGGCTGGAGAAGACCTCTGAGACCCCCAAGCCCAACCCAGCTCATTTCTCCATGCCCCAACTGCACCACACAGACCACATCCCCACAGCTCGGGGATGGTGACCCCCGCCCTCTGCACAGCCTGTGCTGGTGCCTCACCTCCCTTCTGGGAAAGGAACTTTCCCTGGCACACAACCTGAGCTCCCCGCTTCCTTCAGCCAGAGCTGCATCTAGAGCCCTGCTTCACGCATCACTGCATGCCTCAGCTTTATTTCACTTAATTACTCCTCCCAACATCCCAAATGAGTTACACCTCCTCATGTCACAAATCTCACGAAGCTGTACGGCACAGCAACCAGGGAAACGCTCACCCATGTGCTCTGGGGCAGAGACACACAGTCATTGAAACAGCACAGCTCAGTCCGTGAGCACAGCCCCGCGCCCTGCCACGCTTTGTGCCAGGGGTGCACAGCTCCTTGGGCAGCCCCACAGCCCACAGCAGTGCCTGCTCCAGGGATTAAGCGCCGGATTTGGGGAACAAATAGCACAGCTTTCCTGCAGCTCTGCAGCCACGCTGTGGGGCTGGCCAGCCCCTGCTCCATCAGCTTAGGGGGAGATTATTTTTTAAAAGGAAACTGTCAAGAAAAGTCTGTTCTAAAAAGTGAAGTTGGAGCTTAAATCTCTTTGGCGGCACCAGCTGAGCTGGGAGAGATCAAAGAGCCACAGCTCCACTGCAGCACGAGGGGATTTTCGCTGGCAATTTGATGGCAATATGTGCTTTAAGTGCTTCATTTTCAACATACGGCATTGTGCTGCGTAGGGCTGGGATTTACTGTCCCTCAGATGGAGTCAGCATTCAGCCTGCAGACTCTGGGAGGGCTCCGGGCTGCTCAGCCTGCAGAGTAAGCCAGCACCTCATCAGAACTACAGCATGGGGAGAAAATGGGCAGAAACAGGCAAGAGCACCCCATGAGCTGCAAGCATCCTTACAGCAGGTGGCCATCAGCACAGCAACTTCCCCACAGCAGCCCCATAGCAGCCCCAGGCCCCCCAGTGAGCAGCACGATCATGAGAGCATGTGCCTTGCTGTGAATTTGCTGCCTGCGATCCTTCTTCCCAGCTGATATGGGCAGTTCTGTCTCCAAGACTTACCATGTGAGTTTGCTGCAACTGATAAACCTTGGAGAAGGAAAGCGTAATGCTATAATGTGATGGAAAGTACAGTGATAATTGCAGGGTGGAAAAGTGTTCGGCTGTAGCACATGAGGATAAGCTCAAATGCAGCAGCCATGGACACAGAAACAAAGGGGAGGGGGAGGAAGGAGGGAAGGAAGCTGCTTACCTCTGGAAGGCCTCAGGTAGGCAGAGATCTCCAGAGAGACACCCTCACCTTCACTGCCAACCCTTAAGTGAGGGCTGGGAAGGGGTGGATCCTGGCTCCAGCCCTCCCTGTCACTCAGCTGCATTGCATGAACCTGAGCTCCCCTGGGCTGGCCCTGCCTTCCACCAGGTGTTCCATCACTGCTGCAGGCTGTGACTCAGCATTTCTGCTACAGAAAGTAACCAGAAAGTGATTTCTGTAGCTGTAAACTCCAGCTGCTGTATTCCCCAGTGAACCCACAGCTGGGAGCAGGGCAGTGCTACAGGAGCAGGGCAGTGCCATGGGCGCAGGGCGGTGCTGTGGGGGCAGGGCAGTGTTGGGCTGTGCTCAATGCAGCTGCAGTGGCCCACCCCGCGCCCCCCCCCCCCCCCCCCCCAGGGCCATCTGCTGCTGTTTCTCACAGCAGAATATTTATCAGTGAGTCACAATTGGGGATGACTATGACGAAGGTTTCTGCCAGAATGGGGAATTTAACATGGGTCAAATATTTATCGTGGGTTACGTGCAGGGGAATTTTCTTCCCCTAAGCAGCCATGCAGGTTGCCAGGCTGCCCCCCACCGTCCTGCAGGAGGTGGAGGTTTGTTCTGCAGCCACCCAACACCCAACTGCAGAGGAGGAGCAAAGATGTGGCACAGCACAGAGATGCTCAGCCCCAGGGCACCCCTTGGCACAGCCTGGCCAAGCCAACATCAGATTCTGGCCCTGGGGACAAGGAAACCAGACTGGGTTCTGCAAAGTGCCACTTATTCTCCAGCCCTGAGTGCGGCTCTGGAGCAACGCACACACACTGGGTGACAGATGATCTGTGTCCTCTTGCATTGAGCTGCCCATTGCTGCTGCGCAACTTTCATGAATTAAATTCAGAACTTGTAAGTCTATAATTTAGAAGCACTGAAAACCTCTCTCCATAAAAGCAAATTGCCTTCTCCCATCGTTCAAGCTCATGTTTTCATTCATGTGAGCTTGGAGCGGCTCCATGTTTGCTCTTGTTTAAGTTGGCACTCCTTTTCCATGGCGCACGGAGCGCTGCTGCTGCAGCGGATGGCGGTGCGTGCGAGGAACACACTCACAGCAGCCAGCTGACGATCAGGAATGCTCTGTCAGGAAGCGAGCCCTGCTTGCAGCACACAGGACAAACCCACGGACAACTGCATCTCTGCAGCTCTCACCTCAAGGGAGCAGCAGCTGAATCTCAGAGACCCCTCGCAGGCACCCTGGGGTCTCAAGGCACGATGAGATGCCAAGTGCCCGGTGCTAAGCATGGACTCCTGCTCTGGTGCAGAGCAGCTCCACCAACCACCCCCAGCGCTGCGGCCATGGGCTGCAGATTGCTGCAGGACCCCACTGCTGAGCAGTGCTCCTTGCAGCCAGCAGCTCCACACACATCGCTGCTGGAGGGCAGGAACAGTGAGAAAAGAGAGCAACCAAAGCCAGGAGCTGTGCGTGCTGCTCAGCTCCAGGAAAGCACCTTTGGTTTTCCTGGCAACAGCCCCGAGGAGAAGCTCGCTTTCCTTCCAGCAGCTGAACGCAGCAAAACGCTCACAGGAGGGAAGAAAGAAACGTGTAAACGGGTCATAAATATTTACAGGCCGTGAAAGCGAAGCGGGGCGCAGGCGGGAGCAGCGGCTGCAGCACTGGCAC